GTTATCGGTGAGTAGATCCTTTTAAACCCTATAATTTCCATCTAAAACATTTTACTTACAAATGCTTTACTTTCATGATATTCGACCATTTCCAGAATTTTGACATATCCTGTATGTAATACACACATAATTACATGTATATTTCTTTTCCTTTTAGTGTTAAATGTAAGTAATTATGATTCCAATCCCGATGAAATGAAATTAATAGAAGATTTCGAGCTATTTACTTCCCAAGAGATAATAAAGTCAAATGCACTCATATATATAGCCGGATATGTTGCACATAAATTCCGAAACCAATTCCAAAATTTAGGACTTCCTACTAAAAGCTTACCCAATCCAATTAATGACTGGACCTACAAATTATCAAAAGGCAATTGCATGTATCCATCGACAGAATTTTTAAATGTAGCTAAAATTATGGACCACGAATTTGAAAAATTTCATGGCAATTCTTTTAGCAACGAATGGAAAATTTTTGATAAATTGACTATTATTATTTGTAATAAAATCAATGATATGTTTCCAAAAGAAGTCATTGCGTGTCTTGTTCGTACCAGAACATATATTAGACTACGAATTAGAAATAGCGAAATCGTAGAAAATAATTTATTAAGACAAAAAAATAATAAAATGCGTAAAATATGTAACAAAGAAAATGTTAATAGAAATCTAATAAAATAATATATTTTTGAAAATGTGTTTATTTATTTATAATAGCATGTTATAATAAATAACAAATTTTAGCAGATATTAAGTATCTAAATTACATTTATTAACATTATTAGATTTATTAATATTATTGGCATTAACATTTATTTTATTTCATACTCCATTTTATTCATTTACGAGTTTTTGTATTTTTTCAAATTTAGTCTTGTTTTTACAATTGTGTATGTTATTTTTACAAACTGCATTTGAATTTAGCGCTAAATTTTGGGCAAATTTTTGATTGGTTGTTCTAGTACTTTTCCGCCATTATGCGCAATGAAATACCTTATATTCTTATACCATGGGTTAGTTAATCATTTCGGCGGGAGTTCGTGCTGACGTTTCATTGGTTATGCATAAAACATATGCATAGAATTTCATCACCGCAAAATGGTACAGGACTTTTCGACTCAGTGTAGTCTGTTCTACCCACGCACGAAATATTTTGCGGTCGTTACCAGACACCCTGTATATGATTATATGTATATGATATTTTTGTTTGTTTCAGTTGAAATTCACGTCTAGAGTACATTCTACAGAAGGACATCCATAAAAAACAATTAATTAAAAAATGAATACTTAATAATATTTTTATATTATTAAGTTTAATAATATTAAAATAATTTGAGGGAAGGTGGTACAAGGGAAAAAAATGCCACTTTCGCAAGATATGACATATCAATTTTTTCCACTAATACAGAACATTAAAAGTTTAATTTGTTAATTTGTATAAATAAAAAAAATATTTCTAGAATGGAAATAATATTTTGTCGTAAGTTAATTCAATAACATTAAGAAGTTATTCAAGAATAAACGCTTAACTGTAGCGTTTTCCCCTGAATGACCTTAAAATATTAATATTCATCTTTAGTAAAAACTGCAAAATATCTACACAAATACTTGGAATAGACATAAGAAATTTTTTCATTTGTGAATCTTTTTATTTAATGAATCTTTTTACTTAAAAATATATAAGATTTGTACGTTTTACAATTATATTTACACAATAAATTACAAAAAATTCAAAAATGTGTACAAAAAAATTTTTTTATTATTTTATTTTATAATAAAAAGAAGACAGGTTAACAAAGAGCATATGATAACAGATCACGATTAAAAATAATTTATTATTCCTTTTTATTTTCTTTACTTTCATACAATTCTGTGGATCATAATTCGAATTACACAGAAAATATTTTTTTGATTATATACGTACATATGAGGACACAAATAATCTAACACCCGATATTGCATGTATATTACAAAATAAAAAAAATAAGAAGTAATGAAAAAACATGAAAAGGGATGAGAAAGTACTTGTTTCCATGCATACGTTTTAATCGCAGCGCCGGTACATTTAACAATATGGCGGTATACCACGTGACCTGGAACCTACTACATCAAAGGTGCCGGCACTCAGTGTCGCTACTAGGGATGGTTATACTGTGGTATAGTGCAGATCACAGCGCTCGCCGATCTGTCATCATTAGCGCTCCTTGCATAAAGAATGTCAGAAGGACACCAAATGGAATGCGCGGAATGTGGTCGACGACGTTAATGATAATAATAACGACGTATCTGAATCTGAAAAGTGGCAGTTCGGAACTTTGCGTCGCGATATCTCCGCTTGTAGGGCACGTAGAAAAAAAATAAAAGCACTTAATTATACGTCCGAACGGTAGCTATCGATTGAGCGTATATAGAACTTGATCAGTTTAGCCGTTATTGAGATCCGATAATCTTAAACCCCCGCAACTCGCCGGTTCGTGTAAAGGAGGAACGGCAGTGTCGCTGCGCTTGGCTTAGCGCCGAGACACTACCGTGTCTCCAAATATTCTTACAGTACCAACAAAAGAAAAATAATTAATTAATAATGATTATTTATTCGTGACTTTTCTAATATTTCATTTCATTTGTGATTATTAATACTAGTTTTTTGTTACAGTGAGATATATACATATACACTGCCGTCGAAAAGTTTCCGGACATGAAACTTAAAATTGTATAATATTCAGGTCACCGTAATTCGATAAAAAATCATTGCAGACAAAAAATAAAAAGCATGCTAAAGTATAAGTTTCAAGCTTTAAAATGCTGTTTTATTTTTTTGTCTGCAATGATTTTTTTATCGAATTACGGTGACCTGAATATTATGCAATTTTAAGTTTCATGTCCGGAAACTTTTCGACGGCACAGTGTATATTGTATTATGATATTTTTAAATACATACCTAAGGTATGAATTAGAGTTGTAATGAATATTGGACAATTATTCTGTAAATTAAAATGAAACTAATTAATATTAATATTAATTAACTTCCTTTATTTTTAGTATTTTTATGATCGAAACTATTCGGTGTTAGGCCGAATAATAGACTTCAATATTGAGTGTTCGACCCAATAATATAAAAATTCATCGAACAGGTAAAACACTGAATAGTTGCCTAATATTCGTTGCAACTCTAGTGTGAATCAAACTTTCTCATGACATGATAATTTTATTTATTTATCATAGTACTATTAGTCTTATGTTATGATCTCATTAGTTTAAAATTACAGTTAAGCATTTCCAAAGTGTTATATGTGTTTAATATAGAGTAAAATGGTACAATTTCGAACATAATATAATTTTGAACAAAATAAGATTTGAATCAAATTTTCGAAATTCAAGTTTGATTCTTGCCTATTTACCCAGTGAAAAATGATAATATAAATGAATATATATAAAGTCAAATCGACGTCAATTACATTATTATTTTTCTCTGGGTAATAATTGTGTTGGGGCGCTTGGGGCCTCACGCACGTTAGTCGCACCTGCTGGGGCGCCGTTGTCGGTGTGTGCGCACAACGGGCGCGCGACGCAGAATCGCGTTGTTGGATGTATGGTTGAGCACGACGCGAGAAAGACAGCTTCCGAGTGTTACACATATTTAAGGACTTTTAGTTTATTCGACAACTAATCATAACGTATATTTGTAAGCCAAACACTTGAGATCTTTGAAAGAATAAAGGTATATTCAAAGGACACAACAATTGGCGCTGCAAACACGATACTCAAGTTTGAGATTAGGCGAACCACGTGCACGATCTCAAGATGGAACAACTCTTAAATGCATTAACTCAAAGTCAACAACAGCTTGCTCAGAGCCAGCAGATTCTTATGCAACAGTTAGCTGATTCGCAGAAACATATGGTAACAATTTTGCAGCAAACGCAAGGTAACCTCGCTTCTACATCTTCGCAATCGATGGCTTCATATAGCGTTATTTCCGCCCCTCTGGCTAAATCTTCTCAATTCTCAAACCTTGCCGAGCGTTTGGGCAAATTCATTCACGAGCCAGAAAAGGGCAAAACCTTTACGTTGTGGTACGAATACCACGAGGGCACCTTTACGGAGGGTGCGAAAGGTCTAATCGAGGAGGAACGAAAGCAGTTACTCCTTAACGCTCTGAGTGATGACGAATACCAACGTTTATTAAGCCGTTTGTCGCCTACGAAGCCATACGATTTGAGTTTCTCTGACCTTGTCAAGCAACTAAAAAAACAATTTCATGATAATAAGTCGCTTTTTCAATGCCGTTTCGAAGCCCTAAATTTTCGGGCAACGCCGCCTATGGCGGTAATCGATATTCTCGATCGAATAAGCATTCTGGGAGATGCTTTTGAAATTAACAATTTCAATATAGACCAACTCAAAATTTTGCTTACTGCAATGGCACTCAACGATCATGCCTATCATACTGAACGTGCTCTCTTGTTTAAAATTACAGCGGAGAAAGAAAATTGCACTTATAGTGATATCAGAGAAATTTGTTACGCCCATGTAGAACGTACTGCGGATGTAAGACGCGTCGAGGACCAACATAGCAACGAGGTTAATACCGTACAAAAATGGTCTGGAACCAAAGGCACAAACAAGAAAGCCAAGCAAGCCGCCGATGAAGAAATTGACATCTTCACAATGTCGCGGCTGTGGCCTTATGACACATAAGAGAGAAGACTGTCCGTTTAAGGAAGCAGACTGTAGGATCTGCAAAAAGACTGGCCATATAGCAAAAGTCTGTCTCTCTAAAGGTAAGAAGAAAATTGAATCGATTCATTTGAAAAATGTTTCAGGAGCTTCTCTCAAGCATCGAAAATACATCGAAATTTTGCTTAACGGGAAAAAGCTAAAAATGCAATTGATACTGGCGCTGATGTAACAACAATTGGAACAAAAATATGGACGAAATTAGGACGCCCTACGTTGCAACCGTACAAATCTTCTTGCGTAAGCGTCTCAGGTCATAGAATTAAGACAGAGGGAACTTTTCAGGCGACATTTATGTACAACGGAAATTCTACCAAGGCTTCTGTCATCATTTTAAATCGCCCTAATACAGTGCTCATTAGTGCACAAGTTATTGACGAACTCAAAGGGAGTCACAGGTGCCGACTGCATGATAAATGAAATCAAGGATACGTCGTTGCTTAATAAATATCCAAATCTCTTCAGTGATAAATTAAGAGAATGTACTAAGTCAAACGTTAAGCTACGCCTTAAACCGAATGCTCATCCAACTCACGCTCCACACCGTTCAGTGCCGCTAGCACTGGAGAAACAGCTCAGCTTCGAGCTTGATCGACTCGTAGAAAACGGGATCTTAACACCCGTCGATGTATCAAAATGGGCAGCCCCCATTGTCATTGCAAGGAAACCTAACGGGAAAATACGTATTTGCGCTGATTATTCCACAGGATTGAACGAAGCTTTGGATGCGGATGACTATTTCAGATATAGAGGATATTTTAACTAAGCTTCAGGGAAATACCGTTTTCACACAACTGGATCTGTCGGATGCATATTTTCAATTAAAATTGGACGAAGAAAGCAAACCTTTGACTACTATCAATACACATCGAGGGTTGTTCATGTTCAATAGGCTGGTTTTTGGTTGAAATCAGCCCCAGCAATTTTCCAACGCACACTAGAGCAAGCTCTTGCTGAATCCTATCCCAGGTGTTGTGGTTTATCTTGATGATATCCTCATCTGTGGCCGTAATCGTGAAGAGCACGACTGGCGTCTCAACGCAGTTTTGAATCGTCTTCAAGACTGGGGATTCAGACTAGGCATTAGAAAATGTAAGTTTCACATGCCTTCTGTAAAGTATTTAGACTTTATTATTTCTTGAAGAGATATTGAACCAGATCCAGCACGTGTCAAACCAATATGTTCTATGAGAGAACCAAATAGTACAAAGGAAGTTAGAGCGATTTTCGGCTTGGTAAAATAAATTATTACGGAAAGTTCGTTCCAAATTTATTATACAAAGGCTCCTTTAGAAACTCTTACTAAAAAAGGACGCTCCTTTTGTCTGGAATTCTGCTTGCAAGAAAGCTTTTCTTAAGATTAAGGAAGTGTTAACTGGTCCATTTATACTTGCACATTTTGACCCTCAACAGTCGTTAATTGTCGCTGCTGATGCAAACTCAACAGGTATCGGCGGTGTTCTACTTCAACGCTACCCAGATGGACAAGTAAAAGCCGTTTTTCACATGTCAAAAGCTTTGACTAAAACGCAACAAGGCTATAGTCAAATAGAAAAAGAAACATTGGCATTGGTTACTGTCGTTGAGCGTTTTAGGAAGTTTTTATATGGTCGACATTTTACACTCCAAACAGATCATCGGCCTCTTCTGATTCTGTTCCGCTCGTCTAAGACAAAAGGATTGGATATTCGCACTGCAAATCGCTTAAAGCGATGGGCACTCCGCCTCATTGGCTATGATTTCGATATAGAATATGTCAAATCTGAGCATTTTAGTCAAGCAGACGCCTTGTCCAGACTTATTCAAGAAGCCAAAGCAGGTTCTACTGATCCGGAATTGGAGGAAGTCGTCGCTTCGTTACAGGAAATAGAAACGGAATTACAACAGTTAATTCTAGAATCAGGTCGTTTCCTGCCTAAAACAGCTCGGGAGGAGCTGCAACGGGCTACATACAAAGATGAAATTCTAGCTGAGATCGCTTACAGACTGGTTGGCTAAGTTCTGACACTAAAGACAGTGACTTCCGTATTATCACCGTCGCGACTACTTATCTGTTGTGGACAAGATGCTCGTATTCGATGACAAGATCGTTATACCGCATAGTCTTCGACCGGATGTGCTCCGACAATTGCATGTGGCACACCCGGGTATTCGTCGTATGGTACAGTTGGCCCGACGTTATTTCTATTGGCCGGCCATGCAGGCTGATATCGAGAAGTTTATCAAGAGCTGCAAACATTGCGCAGAGACTACACCGAATCCTATTAAGGAACCACTTCATCCGTAGCCAGAATCATAATCGTCGTGGGACTGAATCTACATGGATTTTGCTGGCCCAATCCAAGGACATTGGCTACTAATCATCGTTGATAATTATTCTAGATTCGTAGACGCCGAGTGGTTTTCAACGATTACCGCAACTGCTTCCTGTAAATATCTACGCCGATTATTTTTCAGATATGGTCCACCCAAAGTGATTATATCTGACAATGGCACTCAATTTACGGCAAATGAGTTCGCTCAACTCTGTACAGAATTTAATATCATATATTTACGTAGTCCCCCAGGACATCCTCAGTCAAATGGATTAGCGGAACAAATGGTAAATACTTTGAAGCGTTCCTTGGAGCTGCAGGCTCCGTCGCAAAAGGAGACAAAGATGAACCAATTCTTGTACACGTATAACTATACGCCGTGCGAAGCAACTCCTGACCATAGGTCTCCAACTGAAATATTCTTTGGACGCAAGTTTAGAACTCCTTTGGACATTTTCACCCTTACAGAAAAGCCTAAGTCAATTTTGTCTCATCAACAGAGCAAAATGAAGAAGCAATTTGATACCCATCACGGTGCAAGAGCTCGCCGTTTCGTTCCGGGACAGCAGGTGTTGGTTCAACTCTCGGACGGTCGCCGAGTTTCGGGGAAGATAGTCAACATCATTGGATTTACGATTGCTCATGTCCGCGTTGATATTGGCCTTATCAAGCGGCACTTTAATCAAACCTGGAATCGGACAGTTTCCCCCTCCGAGAGGACTGATGGTAGTGCCGAGGACCTGCTACCAATGGTGCGAAATCCGACAGCAGATCCCCCTCCGTTTCAACTTTCGTTCGAGGGGGCTAATTTCTCCAGTAATGTGGACCCTCCAGCCCAGGCCCAAGAAGAACCGGTAGTTCGGCGCTCCAGTCGTTTTGCGGGACACGCTCGCCCGGATTATCGGAAGTTAGCTGGTTTCCGCCCCTATGGAAAGCATTCCGTTTAGTGGGAGAGGAGTGTTGGGGTGCTTGGGGCCCCACGCACGTTGATCGTCCCTGCTGGGGCGCCGTTGTCGGTGAGCACAATGGCCGCGTGACGCAGAATCGCGTTGTTGGATGTACGGTTGAGCACGACGCGAGAAAGACAGCTTTCGAGTGTTACACATATTTAAGGACTTTTAGTTTATTCGACAACTAATCATAACGTATATTTGTAAGCCAAACACTTGAGATCTTTGAAAGAATAAAAGTATATTTAAAGGACACAACAAATTGTATTCTTCAGTATCTTCCACACAATGAGACAGTTACTAAACACGAACCTCAAAAATTGGATTCAAAATTTTTTTCGTTCAATATCATATATTTTTGAAATTTACTTTACCTTATTTAATTTTTATATCATTCATGTTTCGGTATTAGTATTACTTATGTCAATAATGTATTAATTATGCCACGTCTTGCAATATTATTTATATATGCATTTCTTCTAACATTACAAATATATATGCATAATATTTATAAAATAAAATCTTTTTATTATAATATAATATAATGATTATTTTTCCATTAATATGAACACATCATTTTATAATCGTAATTATGCCTTATTTATATAGTATGTTTTATATCTTATTTATACTATAATATATATTTTAAGTACACCTTGTGGAAATAAATTGCTGTAAAATTACTGAAATCGCTAAAATCTCTATTAATTGACTCACTTTCAATAGAATTATACTGAAAGTGGATCAATTAATAAAGAATTCAGCGATTTCAGTGATTTATTTCCACCAGAGTATGTTACACACACACGCACACGCACACGCACACGCACACGCACACGCACACGCACACGCACACGCACACGCACACACACACATTTATTCCCCACGTTACGTTTTTAAATGTATTACAGGAGATCAGTCACTTTCTCTCAACAATTGAAACATTAGAACTGCAAAGACCGACAGTATTAAATCAGTTGGAACAAAATATATCGTTTGAAGAACTGAGAATTGATGTTGAAAATGCAGACTTGCTATTTGAAGGCAATGCTTATGATATAGGACGATGTAAACAAAATCTGCATTCATCTCCTGTGAGTAAAAAATATAAGATGCCGATACATTAAAGGGTGTATTCTGTTTCACGCATAATGTGCGTAATGCGTAATAATTTATCTTTGTTTAACATTCAGTGAACAACAAGGATAAATTATACATCATGCGTGAAACAGAATACACCTAAAATCTACTTCTTATATGTAAATATATAATTCTTTATATTTCAGAAGGAACATTTCGATGAATCATTTGATGATGATGAAGAATTGTTCAATCAAGATGCGTTATTTCAAGAAAATCTCATTTCTGAAGAAGATGGAAATGTCGAGGAAGTATGTTATAACATTTATGAAATCGAATAAACTATATATGTTTTAGATAAAAACTTAAATATCACTTTTCTATTAACTCAGCTCATTACAATTGTTTCATTATGTGACTACAGATATTGGTCAATCAATACGATCATTTTCTGAATAAAATGTTGTGTCCCCATGCTCAACAAATCTACTTCTTATATGTAATAATTCTTTATGTTTCAGGAGCAACATTATGATGAACCATTTGATGATGATGCGGATTTGCTCAACCAAGATATGTTATTTCAAGAAAATCTCATTTCTGAAGAAGACGGAAA